ACCTGAGATGACAATTTACCGCACAGGTAGTCTATATGAGGCGACCACGTTAAAAACGCATCTAGGTAAACACCAAGGAGTTTGACCGGTTCAGATTTTTTACTTCTTCGATTGGTATTGAAAATTAGAGTCTTTGTTTTATCGGAATTTAATTTAAGTTTATTAGCAGAGAACCAGTGCTCAATCATAGAGAGTGTAGTGACAGCCTTTTTATTTAAATTAGTTAGATCTTTCTCCGATTCAATCAATGATGTGTCATCCGCATAGAGTATACTGCGAGCAGCATTTGTTGCAAATACTACATCATTGACATATATTATAAACAAAAGTGGACCAAGGATGGAACCCTGAGGCACTCCATTAGTAATGTCCAACAGAGTGGATTCCCGATTATTCCAGACAACATACTGCTTTCTTCCGGTCAAATAAGATTTTAAAAGGGCTAAGGTATTTTCACGAATTCCGTAGTACTCAAGTTTAGACAGAAGTATATTAGTATCCACGCAGTCGAATGCCTTGGTGAGGTCGCACATCGTTACCGAAGTCGACAGGCCCTCCTCAAACCCATCAATCACATGCTCAATCACTGTGTATAAGGCACGGATGGTGGACCTACCTGACCGAAAACCAAATTGGGAATCTGTTAACAATTTCCTTCCCTCAAAGTAAGCAATAAGTTTATCTTTTATTATCGACTCAAAAATTTTTCCAATGATAGGAACGATTGCTATTGGTCTAAAATTATCTAAGATATTAGTATCCCCTTTTTTATGGAGTGGAAGAATTTTTGTCACTTTTAATTCATCCGGAAAACATCCCTCTTCAATGCTATTGTTTATTAGTAACGTAATAGGTTTCAGAAGTGAAGATATTGATTGCTTAATAATATTGGCATTTAGACCATAATAGTCAAGACAACGAGAGTTTTTTAGTTTTAAAATCGCTTCCCTAACATCACTCTCCACAACTGCCGACATAAAAAACGAGAAATTGGGTCTAGATGATCTGGAGATGTAGGTCATAGCATCTACTACTGAAGGTGTGATGGTTTTCGTTATCTCCGCTGACACAGAAGCAAAAAATCTGTTGAACTCCAACGGAGTAATAGATGATTGAATAGAGTTACTGTGCTTAGACCGTCTCTCCGAATTAACAATATTCCATGTCGTTTTAGATTTATCATTTGAACTCAGAATTATGTCATCATAAGCCTTCTTTTTCTCCACCTTTATAGTGTGACGATATTCTTTGTGGAACCGCTTGTAAGCATGAAAGTCTTGGTTACTTTTTGAACTATGGTATTTTTTTTTAAGGCATAAAAGATGCTGGCGCATTTGTTTAAGGTTTTCATTGAACCATTTAATTGGCGAGCAATGGATGGTAGAGTTAACAATGGGAAAGAAACTGTCGACAGCTCCCCTAAGTTGTTCAATAAACATAGAACAAAACTCAACGCCACTTTGTTCGTTACTGACAAGTTTGGACCACTCAATGTGCTCCAGACTGTTGCCGAACGCAGTTATACGTTTATTATTTATTAACCTTCTTTTAATTTTATCATGATTACGACAAAGCACTGACGAATTAACTTTTATTAATTGTCCCAAATGATCTGACAAAACGGGGTCACAGACTAGGACACTTAACCGGTCACTAGGAAAATTGGAAATTACATTGTCCAAACAGGAATCTACTGATTTAGACTTCCTGGTAGGTTCTTTTACAAAGAACTCTAAGCCAAACGAAATGAATATATTTTTTAACTCCTCTGATTGTGAGGTTTTTTGTGTTAACTCTACGTTAAAATCGCCAACAATAATTAAGTTGTCATAACGTTTATGAAGAAAACTTATCATTCTGTTCAAATGATCAATAAAAATGGATACGTTGCCTGAAGTAGAAGATCTGTAAAGAGCAAGTAAAACAGTCTTATTATCAATAATTTCCGCTGCACAAAATTCTGCATGAGTTTGAATAGCAAATCCGCCGACATCTAGATATTTGTATTTGATATGCGGTCTTGAAAAAATAGCAACGCCACCATGTTTAAGTTTTGGTCTACAAAATGACGAAATTAAAGTAAAATCGTTCATTTTAACCGACTCAAGCCCACCGCCATCCAGCCAATGCTCAGAGAGGCACAAAATATCAATATTATTTAATCTTGCAAACAATGAAACTTCATCAATTTTATTATGTAGCGCTTGAATATTTATATGTAAAATATTGTAGAAATTATTAGTTGACAAAGAATGGATTTCCTGCACTTTTCCCCAAGCCTTAACACTGTTCATTCCCTTGGGTGGCACAAACCTCACTTGCTCCGGACCCCTTATAATAATAAAATCTTAAGCTGAGAAAGATATTAACTTTGGTCTTAACATTACGCGCTAGAAGCCCACATTTTAAGGTAAAATTTCGACGACGAATATATTATAAATAATTTCTGATTTTTCCGGAATCTGTTCGAACAAAACCTCGCGCATACTAAAAGTTTTGGTCTTCGAAATGTTAACGCGTCGTAGAACGTGTGCGTGTTAAAAACCGATTGCATAAGAGAAACCGGTCGTTACCGATGAAAAAAAATCAGGTTGTAGAATGTAATTTCATACGAATAATAATGAACGAGTACTGTTAAATAATAACCAATCACTTTCGAGGAGTCTCGCGTAAAATTTCCGCATTTTGCTGATCGCGCGCTAAAGTCTCCCCGATACGGTTTCCGCACAACCCCCCATGTCTAAACAAATGCGAAAATATGATTTCCACCCGACCATCCGTTTAGGTTACGGCCCAACGACCTATTTTCTTGACCTCTGTCACGATATATTCATAAAATTTTAATGAATTAATTATTTTTTAATGTTTTTTCGCAATAAAAAATTGCCGTTAATGCTAACTGCATGCGGAAGTTGGGCATTTACCCTTAAAAATCGCGCTTTCTGAATATTTTAGTTATGGATTTTGTACCGCATTTGTGGTGGTAAATTTTTCGTAAAAGAGAACAATTTTTTCTAATAAGAGCTTTTGATGTAAAAAAATATACCTTCCTAGCTTAACTGCATGCGGTATATACACTTTGCCCATACAATGTTTCATTGGCCCTTAATTTCATAAGAAGTGCTTTTATTTTACTGGTTCCAATGCAAAGATGTCCGTTGAGTTGTCAGCCTCTGCAGTAGACCCAATTAAAATTAAGTTTTGCGTTTAATAATAAGTGGTGTTTTTTTTCGATGTATAGAACTTTAAGTTGCAGTAAAGCAACGGTGGATTATTCGATTGACATGAATTTTATTTATCCGAAAGATAATCTTGTGGCATTACATTTTAAATATGATTTCTGGCATATGACCGCCACGGCTGGCGCGGATGTAGTCCAATCTGGACGTCCAATTTTCGATGACTTTTTCCAACCTTTGTAGCCGTATATCGGCAATAACACGGAATGTTGTCTTCCAAATGGTCAAGCGTTTGTGGCTTATCCGCATAGACCAATGATTTTACAGAGCCCCACAGAAAGTAGTCTAGCGGTGTTGAATCACAAGATGTTGGGGGCCAATTCACAGGTCCAAAACGTGAAATTAGGCGGTCACCAAACGTGTCTTTCAATAAATCGATTGTGGCACGAGCTGTGTGACATGTTGCGCCGTCATGTTGAAACCACATCTCCTGGACATCATGGTTATTCGATTCAGGAATGAAAGAGTTAGTAATCATAGCTCTATACCGACCACCATTGACTGTAACGTTCTGGCCATCATCGTTTTTGAAGAAGTACGGACCAATGACTCCACCACCCCATAAAGCGCACCAAACAGTCAGTTTTTGTGGATGTACACTTGAGGATTAGCTTCGCTCCAAATGCGGCAGTTTTGTTTGTTGGGGATGCGAGTTATCAATAAGAGTAAACGTGGTGCGAAAACGTTTCATGGTTAATCGAATTAACTGCTCTGATGGACGATTTTGTCGACAATAAAATGAACGTAGTGCGCGATACGTATTCCGTACAGAACCATTATTTTCGAAATAAAATTGCACTATTTGCAAGCGTTGTTCAGGCGTGGGTCTATCCATGATGAATTGCCAAACCAAACTGAGAATAAATCATTTGACAGCTGTTAAATCGGTCGCCATCTTGAACAGTAATGCCAACTTAAAGTTCTATACATCGAAAAAAAACACCCATTACTTCGCCTTCTATGCTATTTTCCACAAACCACAAACTCTTTTAACAAAGCCAAGCTTTATTCTCGGTTATGTAGGTAGAATGAGCCTGCCAAATGTTCAAACATGAGGAAAAACTTGTTTACTGTTAGCAGCGCCACCATCGGGAAATGAATTCGCGAAATTACGCCAATCTTCAAAATCCATGGGTCAGTCGTTATATGCAAGTACGTTGAGTGTTGCTCGTTGTTGTCGCGGAAACCTTTCCGTTTACGGAATAGTTTTCCCCCCCTCGGATTGGTATCGGTTCGATCTTCTTTTGTTCCGCGAAAGCGCTTCCAACTTTGATCGGGGAAACCGAAATCGTATCATAATCAGGCGCGACACTAGGTGTTTTTTTCATTGTCCCTCGTCCGAACCGACCGCAAGGTTCTCGCCACTTTCTATCCAATTAATAAGACGCTTATATAACTTTATTAATAAAAAAAAAATAATCGGCTGGTTCGCTACCGAATCTCCAAAGTCATCCACGAAAATTGTGGCCGGAATGTAAACAGAAACCGCGTTTTTACTTCCTTAATGAGTTCTCGGTCAGTTGACGCTATGAATGAGGAACGATGGCCGAGAGGGGGTAATAGCGAAGGAAAAAACGAATCAACCGTTACTTAAGATTGGCGAAAAATAAAAAAATCTCGTTGAATAGACTCCGGCCGTTGTTATATCGATCAAGAGGTCTAGCGAAATTTTAAACGCAACAGAAAAGTAAATGCATACTAGATCATTCGTTTCAAATTTAATGAAAAACCCGATGAAATATAATTTATTTTTGTTTTCAGGGACTGAATGACTTTTCCGACACATTTCTTGGGCGACAGTTTAAAGAACGAAATCCTTGTCGATCGCATGCCGCCTTAAGCGTATTAAATGTAAGTATTGTAAAGTACGATAGAAATAGAAATCTCTGTCTGTGAATTTTATATTGAAATTTTATTTAGATGGAGACTGGTAGAAATGGGGATCATTTTCTTTGTCATACACATTAATGCTAATGGCAGATGTAGTAAGGGATCGTTTTTTATTATTTCTAAATTTTTCTCTTGGGGTTTTTTGAAAGTAAACCGTTTGCTAGAGGGTACTTTGTTAAATCATTTTAATTAGTTCGTTCTGCTTAGAATTAATTTTTTGCGATGACAATCTTGTCTATATGGAAAGCTACTATTAATTTCATGGTGGTATTAATCAATAAACATTTTCTTAAATAAACATTTTTTTTTTAATTTTTAATAATGTTTTTCGCACTTTTTATTATGAAAAGTGCTTTGTTTCTATGAAAATATTTACAGGCTACTTTTTTAAGCAGAATTAATGGCATAACTTTAATACTAATATTTGATTAATTATTAACCAGAAAATCGATTTTTTATATGGGTCTCCTTGTATATTTTTCGATCATTGAGAAGAACTTAAACTTACCTTTCGAAAAGTATGGCATAATTGATATTTTACTCGAATTTCTTGGAACAAATAGAACTTTATGCACTTTGGACAAATAGGCTTTGGACAGTGCCCCAGTAATACAAAAGACAAATACGTGGCCAAATTCTGGTTTCAAATGAATTTCAAAGAATCGACGGTAAAAGCGTACTCGGTTGTATATTTTTCTAGCAACCGCTCGCATCATTGCACTTTTCTGGCACTGTGTGACATGTGCGTGTGTGTGTGTTTTTTTAATTCACCTAACGGTAGTTCTTGCTGTTGCTTCTTGTTGGCTCCTGAAACCATGGTTTTTTGTAACTCGGATGGAGTTCATGTACAGCTTTTTGGCCACTTCTATCTCAAACTGCAAACGCACTCTTCTGAAAATGTCTTTAAGATGTTGTTTGGTTTCAGGATGCTGGTCGTAATACAAACTGCACGCTGTCCCTACATTCTCAACTTTCATAAACCAAACTATAATATCCCATTTATTTCACGACTAACAGTACGCAGTTGTTTTCGGTATTATCGCTGCTCCGACCAAAACCTAGTTGTTAAAAGCTCTCGTGCAAAAATATCAAGTGTGTTATATTTTTGGAAAAGTAATTCCCATTGCTTTTCGAAGTTTTAATATACAGGATGTCCCATGTAAAAATCAATAAATTTTTGTTTTAAAACTATCTAGTTATAATTATAAAATATTATGTTGAAACAATTAAATTCTGCATAAGAAGTTTATTTCGAACTGTTCCCAGAGAAATGTACGTAATGTCCGCCCGAGATGAAAAAGAAATTAGGAATAACCAGTAAGAACTTTTTTACGTAGTTTATAGCGACACGTTACGACTCCGACTAACTCTTTTAAAAATTGTAAGTCTTGTTGACGTTACTTTTTTCAAGGCAGCGATTTTTCCAAATTTTCCAAAAACACCCTATAGCAACTCCCTTTAAGAACATAAGTTTTCTCCTATCCCTTTAAAAGTATACAAGTCCACCCTATACATATTTAAGTAAATACGTTTGTATTTTAAGGGTCTTTTGAATGAATACCCCAGAAAATACATATACACTGCTTGCCATACACAATCATAAAGCCGGACATCAAATGTTGACAATTTATATGACCTTTTTTCAGAAGTTTTTTTAATAATAATAATGATTTCAGTAAGAATGATATCGGTAAATAAAGAAATCAAACAACGAGAACAGCCCGTAAGATCCCATTTATTTAAAAGAAGAATTGAAAGGCACTCGTCCCCCATTACTAACCATCTTTTTCATTGTAAAATTTGCCTCACTTTTATATCACGCCGTTGCGATTCCAGTTATATCGAGTTCACTAATTTATGACATTTTAAAATTGCCCGGGCTCCTCGTTCCAAGAACAATAATCTTCGTTCTCACGACGTGAGACGGCATTGACCGCCTAGTATAGAATCTTCCCCGTACACACACGCGTTCCCAGGGCGTATAGTTATCGACCCCCTCATTACTGTCACGAAAACAAAAGGTGAGGAGGGAATTGCGCACGCGAACCCCTCAATATAACCCACATTTACAATTCAGATTCAGTTGGGTTGAAGAAAAAGTAGCCGTCGACCACCACTACACGCCTGCTATGTGTTTTGCATACGTTTAACGCTCGGGTCGCGCTGCCGGGATAATCTCGTCGTCGTCGGGGAAATTGTAAAATTGATTCGGTTTAGTTGAAAATGTCCGACGCGGAGTCGTCGATAATCTTACGCGATTATGTAAAACGCCCCTGCGAATTACGCAATTACTGGTCTACAAACCTTGAAAATTATATCGATCCAGTTAAATTCCGATGAAATAGTAAAAGTGGACGTATTACGTTTATTATCGTGGGTATTAATTTCTGACATTTGCCACCGCTCCGTCGCGTCCACGAAGAAATAAACCTCTCTCTGTTTACCACAGACCAGGGTAAAATACTCGCATTTGCACAATTTTAAAGGGAAATTCAAATTGTAAACATTTAGGTTTGGATACTTATTAGGTTAAGGGATCTTCCATTGGGCATAATCATATAGCTATTAGGTAGCTATTAAGTTAATTATTTTTCCACGCATGCCTCTACATTTCACAAACTAACCTGCACTTTGCACCATTTTCATTATGTTAAGGGGTATTCCATTGGGCATATGCATATACATGTATTTAGTGGTCTAAATAACAAGGAAAGGCCATGAAGGGTGTAGTTGTTGTATATTACGCAACTAGTTTGGTAAACGGGAGTTGATTCACGAGTTTTATTTTGGCACGAGCGGAGCGAGTGCTTGACAAACGTGTGACTGAAGCAGTTTCTGAACGGGTTTCATAGTATATTTTTATTACGACCATTAGTGTTTGCGTAGATTTTTACAAAGCAAGGGCGAATAAATTCACTGAGCGAAATGTAACGTGACCGTCGGAATTGACAAATCCGTGAGTAATAAAACATCACCGCCCAACCTGTGACTGATCCCGGAAATGCCCGAGCTAGCTCGCAGTTAAAGTCACATTTTTCGCACGCTTAATACGGACCATTAGACACGAATCTCATTGAGTATTTTAGAGAAGGATGTAGAAAAAAATGGTTTCATTTATCTGTTTGATTGCGTTTACTTTTTCTGGTGCTCTGAATCAGATACATTATTTATAGTGAACTATTTTATTCATTATGTACAGGGTGTTATGGAATTCACGTCATACAATTAATTAGTATCTCAAACCGAATCACGAAAATCACGAATCAGATCTACAATATATTGAATTGATATACAGGATGCATATTAGGCATGTTATTCTTGACAACACAAAATTACAGAAGTTTGATTACGAAACACCACGTATAGCTTCCAGCGTGTTCAGGCTAATTGAGTTGTGGCAGCGCAAGCCGAACAAAAACCCAGGAAAAACGGTGGGGGAGGGGTAGCCACAGTAACAGGTGCCCCAGAGGTCTCGATCGGCTTTGTCAATCAGGTGTTTATTAAAACGATGTTTCGGCGAATATTACAAGGTCGTCGGAACAATGGACGCTTTGATCTTCAATGATCGATGTCGAGGATACAAAGTTATTAGATCCGATCGCCTACGGGAGAATCAAGCAGGTAGATAAAATTGCTCTGCGATTTTTACGCGGCAGCGGTTGTCTTGCTTTAGTTGTACTGCCGAATATTGCAAAACTGCTATATAATTACTAGATCAAACGAACTTACCTGTAATGATGTTCGATCGTATTTATATGAAGTCCTCGTCGAAGTAAATTAGATCTAACGTTTCTTCTCCACTCCACTCATACTCAACAATAATTTATTACAAGAAACGGCAGAACGAAGTGGTTTTGTTTTTTGTGGCAGGTTGCAGCTTATTTGGCCTGCTGAATATAAATATTAACCCCTCGATTAAGACATTGTCTTTTTTAAAACAATGAGTGATAAGATTTTTGCCCTCTGTCCAGAAGTGAACACTAAAAGCATAGCCAATTAATAGGAAAGAAACTTTAAGGAAATTGTTTTATTTTTCGAGGTTCTAACGTAAGTTAAAACCAGGACCGGGTCCCATGTATTCGTGTATCTTGGTCGAAGAATCAATCAGATCTACGAGAGTTAAGGATACCGTAAGAAACCCCTCTGTCAGGTTCCTCTTGGAGGAACTCTATAATACAACTTCAAACCTGTATTATATTGCTTCAGTGTAGATGATTTTATTGAAACTAAAGCGGCTGCTGACACTCCTCGTGACTGTTATACCTTCGGCATTATCATGAATAACTTTTTACATGACGTGTAGGATTAGAGAAAAAGGAAGAATAGCATACAAATTAAGGTGCAATCTAAAATAAAGCTTCGGGGTCACGATGCCGGGAAACAAATTTTGGACACCTATTATTGTGACAACTATATCCGGAGCTCCAAAGATAAGATAAGACAAGAAATAATTTTACAAAAATATTTGGTATTTAATTTCCATTTCGCTTCAAAATTATTCCTTCGCGATTGTTCATCCGCAATTATATTATTTTTTGAAGTAATATATGAAGCAAAAATATAAAGCTTTTTCTTTACACACCAATGCCAGTTATTTGAAGAAAGTTTGCTCAATCTGGAAAATTGGATACCTCCAAAGCTATTAATATAGGCAATGGGAGTTGTTATCTATTCGTAACAGAATATTATGGCCACGCATCCTATGAGCAAAACATTTTAAGGCGCTACCCTTATTTAAACTTACTTAAACTAACCAAAAAGCATTAGTTCTCATATCTGCACAACAGGCACAATTAGAGCCCTGCGGGAAATTATCCAACCACCATTTGAGGTGGTTACGTAAAGTAGTTGATATTTTCATGACTCTGACGTAATTTCCACCAGAAAGGCCAAAATTTTTTCCCTCTGGAAAGCTTTGGTATGTCTCCAGCTAGCTGGACATATAGAGACTATTTTTCTCA